CCGGCGGCCCCTGTGGATCTGGCTCTGGCTGCTCTGGCTGCCCCGGCCGCGGCTGTGGTTCCTTTTCCTTCCTCTACTTCGGGAACTGTGCCTCTCACGACTTCTTGCGTGTTTGTGCGATTTCTTCCCTCTGTGACTACTCTTCCTCTTCTGCTCGGACTCCCCATTTCTCTTGGAGTGGTCTGGACCAGGGCTTCTCCTCCTCCGGGGCCTGCTATGGTAATCATTGTGGTAGCCCACCCTTTCCCTCCTGTCTAAATTCTTACCAAAGGAAGAGCCAGTCCGATCTGGAGACAGGTAGAGGTCTCTATTTGCTTCCCAAAATTCATTGTTGGGATTTCTGAACACATGGAGAAAGTTACAGTGTTTTCCTCTTGGACACTGTTGTATTTCAAATAAACCTGCACGGCAGTGATGAAACAACAGTCAGTATTGTGTGTTTGGAAGATGACACCCTTTTACAAAGGTGTACTTCTCATGTTGGATAGGTTTCCCTTATTAATTAAAAAGGGGCTTACATAAATTGAAGTAATAGTGCGGTTCCCAGAATTCCAAAAATATTCAAATGCTCTAATGACACTCAGAAAGGTAATAAATTTGAAATTTTCATTAACCAGAATATCCCATGTCCCTATTGTAGCTCAGAGCGCAAAAGAAAACATAGTGATCACATTATGTTTCCTATGGCATCACCATCCGCTATCTGACCATTTTCATTCATTATTAAAAATTAAAGAATCAGGCCTCAGGGTCCATGTGGCTACCTGCTTTGAGGACATGGTAATGGCAGGACAGAACTACTGGTCAAAAGAGAAGGCCAACATAGGTAGAGGATGCTACATTTTCTTTACATTTTAAGAACAAGATGATAAACACTGGCCTTAAATTCACAAAGTGCTTTTAATAGAGAAGATTCTTGTCAAGCTAAATCTATTTGAACTATTCAGATCTTTTTGAGTAGTTATAATCTTTTGGGGGTAATCAAACAAAAACAAAACAAAAAAAAAACCCCAGCAAATTCTCTAAACATGTGAAACAGTTAAAAATGAACTATCTCTACACCACACACTATACACATATTAACTCAAACTGTATCAAAGACCTAAATATAAGAGATGCAATCAACTGAAGAAAATATACTACAGGTAAATATCTGCGAACCTGGGTAAGCAACAGAGGCTTAGATAGGACAACAAAAGCACAAAGCACAAGCCCCCCCCAAAGCCCCACAAAACCTTTTGTGCTTCAAAGGACACAAAGTAAAGCACACAAAAAGGGGAAAAGTTTGTAGCTCATACTGTGATCAGGTACTTGTACGCAGAATAAGTCAAGAACTCTAAAGACTCAATAAAAAAGCCAAAGTAAAAATGGATCAAGGATCTGAACAGACATCTCTCCAAAAATGATATATACAATTGGCCAATAACAAGAACATAGAAAGATGTTCAACATCGTTAATCAGTGAGCCTAACAAAGCTGTGGTTAAAAAACAAGTGTCCTGTTTTGAGGCAGTCCAAGCCATACTCTAAAGTACCTCACTGAAATCACTGTCTAGATCCCAGGAATAACACAAGTAACTGCCTCTGTGGCTAAAACAATTCCATCTCTTTCATCTCCTGAGCCTTTAAACTTAGGATGTAAGGATTTTTATGGTTTTCTTAAGCCAAGGAATTCTAAAATCTTTTTTCACCCTTCATAAAAAATGGTTTTTAAAGGACAGCATCCATTAAGACAAAGCTACTAAAGATTCAGACTTTATAAATTATATTTTTTACTAAAACATTATCACAGGTGAGAGTATAGAGCAAAGAAATACAAGTAAAAGGAAGCACAAATGTACCCTGAGGCATTAACTGTTCACCTGGGGACTTCCACACTGCTTTGGCCAAGGCCACTTAGAAATCAGAGAATGACTAGGCCTTTGAAGCTGCTGACTGCTCTCCACACAGTGCTGAATCATTCCCTGGTTCGGCTGCCACTGTCCAATGAGCCAGTCTAACTGAACACAGCAAATGCACACTTAACTGATCCTATGGGACCATGGGCACAAAATCAAATGAGATGGGAAGCGCCATCTACAGGTAATGTTTGTCATAGCAACGACGGTGGAAGATTCCTTAGGGACAAGGATGGAATACACAACTCAAAGTGCAGATAGCCAGTGAACAGAAGACACATCTGAAACTGCAACAAGTACAACGAGGCTGCCTAAAGATGCTTCTCAGGCTTCCTGAACTGTCAGACAAGCACCTTGGATTGAAGATCAAAAGACTGAAATTCTAGCCCTGTCACTGATATATTGTGACCTTAGTTACTTCAGCTATAAAGTGACCCATAACGTCTGTTACAGATCCTAACTGTAGTGTCCTTTACATACATAATATCTCTGCTCATCTGCATAAAGCAAAAGCTATGCCACACTCCATAAAAGACTGCCCCCCACCCCTAGCATATCCCTTTATAGAACAGTGGGACAATTGGGGAAAAATCATTACCACAAATTGCCATTTTCCACCGGGTCACTGGGCAAAATTCACACTGAAGCTGTCTTCCTGCATACCATCGTCCATTAAACAGAGAAAGGGCTGCTTGGCATTCTTCTTCCCTTTAAAACAAAACTCAAAGGATGTGATTTACAGTAACTCATTAGAGTTACACTATTAAGGTAGATTAACCCTATTATTAATTAATCCCTTTTTTCATGTACTGTAGGACCACGAAGTTCTCTGTTTTTGTACTGCCTAGGAATCCTTATTAGAGCATTGAGGCTCCTGCAGCTCACAATTTACTCAGGAACCTTTTTTACTAACCCTCTGAGAGGTTTGAATCCATGGAAATTGGCTTGAATCAAATTTTCTTAATCCAAGACTGGACCATTAAAATTACAGAAGTATTTTCCATTGTTAGCACCTTTGCGTTCTCAGCTAGGTCTGCTGTGCTCTATATTACAATGGTTAATTGAACCCATTAGCCATGGTGTGATTGGGCAAACAGCAAGACAAGCAGAAGTGATACAGTAGCCACTCTCCTAGCTGGGCAAATGCACACTAACATTATGCTAGGCTTCAATCTCTGGCTCTTTAGATTTCATCTTGTCTGTTCTAGTTACCCATTTTCAGCTTGTATTTTATTATTAAAAGTACAAACCGGGCGTGATGATGTACACCTGTAATCCCAGCACTTGACAGGCTGAGGCAGGAGGATCGCTGCAAGTTCAAGACCAGCCTGGGCTACACAGTGAGCTCCATGGCAGTCTGAACTACATAGTGAGACCCTGTCTCAAAAAAAATCAAAACAAACAAACAAACGAAAAGAATAAAAAAAGTACATACATAAGACAACCATACTGTAAAAGATTTAAAACTAGTACTATCCACAAAGAATGAAACACAAATGTATTCTTTTCAAATCCCTTCTTTGTTGCTATTATCAGCTCTTAATGTTTAGTTTTGAAAAATGCTATGACTATGAAAACTATATATTCAGTAGAAAATTCCCAGACATCAACAAAAACAAAAAATTATACTATGACAAAACACGAAGACATTTATGTGCACAATACTTACGACTGGTACTGAACATAGACATTGCCCCTCAGATGAGGTTCCAAGTTGCAGCTAACCTAAGGAACAATGAAGAATGTTATCATTAGAAAAATTTTAAAAAGAAACTACTCAGTCAACAAATGCTCTTTGTCCAGGCTAACATTCCCCAAAGTAATTAATTACCAATCGAGGACTCCAAAAGAGATATACTCGCCAACTCTTGTGTCTAAGCACAACTACTTCAGCACATAATGGCACTGTAGGCCCTAATTATCTGATCTCTGTTGATCCAAGTCTGTCTTTTTTCCCAGAAATATGAAATGTTTCACAGGCATAAAAACAGAGAATG